ATTCAGTGAATATAGGAATTGGTTGTAGCTGATATGGGGTTAATTGTAGTGGACATAGATAGTCATATATCTTAGCAAAAAAATCAGATAATCTAATGAAAGAGGAATTAATTCTTTAATGAAAAGGGGAATTAATTGTCTACTGAAAAGAGGAATTCTCTAATGAAGGCCTTAGGTAACTTTCCAATACGTACCCTCCCAGTACCCCATGATAATTTTGCAAATGTAAGCATGAGGTCATGTTCCAATGTGCCCTCCTGATGCCCCTTGATGATAAGGGAAAACTAAAAATAGTAACAGAAAAATCCTATATAAACTTGGTTCAAAATTGGATCTGGACTTTCAGTCTGAAGCCGCTGTGACAGTGACAGCTGAGAGTCCAGGCTTGAGCTTGCAATAAACTCCTCTTGCAATTGCATCGGACCTGACTCCTTGGTGGTCTTTGGGGACTTTGCGACTTGGGCACAACACATTCCTTTATGCAAAAGCCGCTTAGTTCATCTCTAAGAATTACCAAAGTCCTACCAGTTTTGGCATTGCTGAAAAGTCCAAGTCCAAAGTCTCTCTTTGATTTAGGGCAAATTCTTAGCTGCAAGCACTTGTACCAATAAAAAGAAAATTAAACACTCAACATTCAATGGCACAAGTTAGACATTTCCATCCCAAAGGTTGCAAGCAGAGAGATAGCAAGGAATGAGAACAACGCAAGACCAAAATCCAGAAGGGTAGATACTAAATCCCACAGTTCCACTTCCAGCATTCCCGACAATGTGTGGCAAGCTGTCAACTCCAAAGGGCTTGAGTGTCTACACCCCTACAGAACTTTTGGTGGTTGGAGCTCCTAGGGCTTCTCTCGTGGGCTGGCTCTGCTCCCGCCTTTGCAAGTTTCCTCAGATGATCCTCACTCCTGGTTTCTCCAGCCCTCGGGGGTCTCCACTGTGCCTTTGGCTTCACACTTGCAGCTTCACACAAGGCCCTCTCAGGGGCGCCCTGCCTGGCCTTCTTCTGAAATCTGGGTGGAAGCCTTCCTGACTTCACAACTCTGGCATTCTGCCCGTGCCTAAAACCAGCACCATGTGGATGACGCCAAGGTCTACTGCCAGCTGGAGCAGTAGCCAGGCTCCCTTCTCTCTTGGCTGCAGGGATCCTGTGCCTGTGAACCAAATCCTGAGAACAACCTCCCTAGATTGGTACCACTCTGGAATATGTGTTCTGGGACTCTCTTCTCAAAGTGAAATCTTTCACTTTTGAAATTTTGAGGGTGCAAAAGGTGGAGTCCTAGTGCATCTTTTCTATTCTCCTGTTCCTTCTCAGGAATCAAAATCTCCTCTTCTCTATAGGCTACAACTTTACTGGAGCTTCCTTTCTGACCAAACTCAAAGTGTTTTAAATTATTCTGCTGGGCTATTTTTTCTTGATTCTCAACAAAAATCTGGCAAATGCCCCCAACCATACCCATGCCACTGCCTCAACATTAGACTTCCTTGAAATTTCTTCTCCAAGATTAATTAGTCCCCCACTCTTAATCTCAGTCTCAGGCAATCTCTGGACACCAGCAAAATGGAGACAAACTTTCTGTAAAGGCATAACACTCATCATCTGGAGTCAAGCAGCCAATGCAGTCCTTCCCAGTAGAATGAGCCTGGTCTTTACTGGCTTTCTGGTCTTTTGAGCTCGACTAGAATCTCCCATACAGTACAGCCTAAGACCTTTCAACTTTACTTTTTCAGCTGACATCTCCAACCCTATCGTAACTCTTCTCCTTCACACAAACTACTTCCAAAGGCTCTTGAGCCACATGGCCGGGTACACATGGCCACAGCAACAATCCCTCTTTTCTGGTACCAAATTCGGTCTTAATTACTTTTTCATTGCTGAGAAAAAATATCCAACACCCAAAGTTAAAGGGGAAAAGGTTTGTTTACCTCACAGTCTGAAGAGGTTTCAGCCCATAATCGGCTGGCTCCGAGTCAGGGCAGCCCAAGTCAGAGGGATATCACAGAGGAGAAACAGCTCATGGGGCCCACATAGTACCAAAAGCAACAAAGAAACACTTAACAAAATCTTTCTGCTCCTTTTATCTTATCCAGACTACTGGGATTAGGGCTGTGGCAAACCAATCAGTGTACTGGTATAATAATCACACACCCTTAATCCCAGCACCACCTACTCTAGATTCAGCCACCTCTGAAAAAAGTCCTATGACCACATGAGGCTCCAGGGGGTGGGGAGGACATTTAAACACAAGCCATAACAGACTGCATAACCTCTGCTTCCATGGTCCTGATAGATACCGCAGTGTCTAATCCACCCTCCATCAATGCAGACACGTTCCCTAAAACCTCGGGGTCAGGACGCAGACACAGAGGCCGTGTGTGACCGAATGGCAGCAAGCCTCTGCTGGACCATTCTGTTACTAGGAGGCAGGAAGGTCCAATCTGAGCCATGGGCTGCCCACCAGAAATCCTGCCCCCACAGGCCACTTCTGTCCTTGCTATCAAGTGGTCTGTCGTGTGCTTGGGCCACTTTACTCATAAAGAGGCAGAGACTGGAAACTGCTTCAACAAGAGATGAGATAAAGGGAGCATGGCTCGTAACAGAATACTACTCAGCAAAAGGAAAAGAAATCACAAAGAATGAACTAGTTACAGCCATCCTTCTGGACAGATCTTGCCCCTCCTATAAGGAGTGAAATAAACCAGAAACAAAAGAGGGGTAGAGAGGCTCCTGGCCCAGAGCCACTGAATTTAAAGTATAAACTTCATTCTTCCTGCAGTTTTACAGTTGAACAGTTCCATGCCTGTTCATGGGCCTTGGGCAGAAAACCAGACCACCTCTCCTCTGTCTGATCAATTACTGAAGGGGAGGAGAGGCTCCGCCCACAGAGCAGGCTACTCTGGTCTCTCTCTCCATCTTTCTCCTCATCCTTCCCCTTCCCTGCTAGTGAGGACACAGCGGCATAAGTGTATGGAAAGGGGGTCTTTACCTTAGGTAAAGTAGGATTTCTCCTCATTTTGCCGACTCTCTGAGTCCATTTGTGCTACAAAACAGGATTGTGAGGCTGGGTTATTCATAATGAATGGAAATGTATTTCCTACCATTTCTGCAGCTGTGAAGTTCCAGACCAAGGTGCTGGCATCTGGGCGGCCTTCTCACTGCGTGAAGGATGCAGGAGGGGGAGGGGACTAATGCTGAGTCCTCCTGTCAGGAGGCAGAAGAGAGACTGCCACGCCCAACGCTCTCTTTATAGCCACCGATCCTCACCTCCCAGCAGGCCTTGCCCCCCACAGCACCACCACCTTTGTATCAGGGATTAATTACATCTCCAACATGTGAGTTTGGGAGGACAAACTCTAGCCCCTGCACTCACTATGATATCCCCTTCTTGCTAATCCGCGCATCTCTGCACTAAAGATCCTGGGATTTGGGTTCCAAGCACATTCCTGGCAGTTTGTCAGACTCCATCCCTAGGAGTGCTGATGAATTGGTGGAGGACAGAAACATTGTGTTAGTGAGAGGTAGGAGAGGGGGTGACGGTGAGCCCTGACTCCGCAGTCAAACCAAGTAGTGTTGAATTCTAGCTCCACCCTGCCAGACCTGGCACCTGGGACCAGTCACGCGGTCTGCCTCCTTCAGATGGGCACCGTAGCACCGCCTGCCTCAGGCTCGCACCGCAGGCCCTCCGTGTGGACCCCAGGTTCCACACCTCTGCCCTGGATCAAAAATATTTTTTAAAATGCCACCTGTACGGGACACGCAGTTTTCTCTCCCATCGTTGTTCGTTGCCTGGGTTTTTAAAAAGACATCTAAAGATGATCTGAACCCTATGGGAGGATGCCTGGGCTAGGTGCAAACACTGTGCTGCTTCATGGAAGGGACTTGAGCGTCCACAGATATCGGCACCCACGAGGGGCTCTGGAGCCCAGGAATGACGGTCCAGTTAAATGTGTTCATGCAAGAGCAGAGAGATGTTTCCTCTTCCTGTCCTTTTCCTCCTCTCCCCACTCATGAATATTATTAGGGTTATGAGCTATTGCTTTTCTCTCCCGGAGTTGCTGAGCTTCAAGCTGGGGCAGCGAGGAGGAACAAGCACTGCCAAGGACTCAGCTGTGGGTTGGCAGCTGTGCCGTGGGCAGAGGTGAGCCTGGTGAAGATTCTCATGTTCGAAGTCTGAGCCTGAATGTTTAACCAACAACAGGGTCTGATTTAGGAAGGTTACCTTCCGAGCACTGTGCCCCAGAGACTGGGTGTCTCCGGGAGCTGCTGCCCACACAAATGGCTCACAGAATTCTTGGATTTCTCAGATATCTTCCTGCATTCCACCACCCCAACCTGAATTTAATCGCTCCCTTGACATCTGGTTAGATTTCCTTTTCTTTTTGTTTGTTGATTTGTTTGCTTGGTTTTTGAGACAAGATCTCATTGTGTAGTTCAGGCTGCCCTGGAATTCACTATGGAGACCAGGCTGGCCCTGAACTCGAAGTGATCCTCCTGCCTCAGCCTCCTGAGTACTAGGATTACAGGCCTGCACCATTATGGCCGTCTTAGATCCTTTTTAAAAATGCAATTGCCCAAGTCCAGTTCCTGTTTGAGATGACAAATCCCTCGTGGCCAACCAGCCTTTCTCATCGTGCATTCTGACTGGCTTTGCTGCTGAGGTGTATTGAACTCGACTTTGGGAAGTTCCTTCAGAGGTCTTGGGCACTCTTTCTAATATTCCCAGTGTGGCCAATCTGTGTCCTTTAGGGGTAGATTCAACCTCAGAAAAATGCATTTCTATGCCAAGTTGGTGGATGAATTGAGGGATGCCCATTCTGTTCTATAAATAAATTTACAAGACCGGTTTTCCTGCAGGTCGAGCTGCCATTCCCGAGGAGTAGGCCAAAGAGTATTTGGAGCAGCGCTCTCAGAACAGGGGCCGTAGTCCCCAGGCCAAAGCTGGCCCTTTGGCTCGGTTCGAATGGCTCGGTCATGCCGAGAGTGGCCACTAGAGGGAGCCGTGTTCCGGACCCCAGCAGCCCAGCCTGCGCGTTGCTCCCGGAGATTTATAAGGAGCCTTCCACTCAGTCAGAACCTCGCAGGGCGCCGGTGCCTCCCCGCGACATCTCCAGGTCGCTGCCCGCGGCTGACAGGGACGAAGCACCACGCCAGGGCGTCCCAGGTGCAGACCTGCAACCGCTTGGCCCCCCACCCCGACCCCCCCGCTCCAGCCTGGCCTCCCGGGCTGCGCCTCCCGCCCCAAGTCCCCGGGCGCCTTGTAGCCTTTCTATGACTCCGTCTGGACTTGGCTGGCGGGGGACACAGGCTTCCAGGGACTGCCCGGGTCTCGGCGCGACAGCAGCCGGCTCTCCGACCACTGCGGCGAATGCTGGGAACTGAGCGCCAGGCTCTGTGGCCTCCGCGGGGGCGTCAGGTGAGTACGGCGCTGACTTGTCCCGGCGCCTACCTGGGCTCAGTTCGTGGCTCTGGAGCCTGTTCCGGGAGCAGGTGGGACGGGGATGGGCTCTCTCTGAGCTGCTGCGAGCGTGTGCAGGCGTGACACTCAGGGCAACAGGTTATTTACAAAACACCTGCGCTCTCCAGCGGCCGGTTACCTGGCCACGCGGAAGGAGGGAAGGGCTTAAAGCCTCCGGAACACGTCTGTCCCTGGGCCGCATTCCTAGTGATTGCCACTTGGTTTGGATGCATTTGAGACCAGGCAGCTCCCAGAAAGCTGTGAGCCCTGCAGAGTGAGAGGCTGGACCCATGTTTAGAGCAACCTGCACCCGCTTGGCAGGGAGAATTCAGCCCATCCTCTGATGCCCAGAGAAGGACTTGGAAAGCCGGGGTCCGAACCCTGGCCCTACACTGCGTTCACAATTGCTCTTTACAAATCGAACCCCCCATAGCTTGTTTTGGGTACTGGCTCAGGGAACCTGAGACCCTTTACCTGGCTGGAGGGTGTTCTCACCAGCTGTGCCACCAGCTGCCCTTCTAGGCTGCATGGATCCCGAACCATGCAGGAGATGCACTCCAGGCTGAGTGTGGTCAGAACGCCGGGCCACGTTCCCCAGGTAACAGGAGCAGAGGAGCCCTGGTCCTACCTGAAGAGTGTGTTGCTGGCCCTCTGGGGTGTGACCCTCTTCGCTGAATACCACCACACATCCTGGGCAAAGCTCCCGCAGCTGGGCCAGCACCTTGGTGGGCAGCCCTCGTCCCGAGTCTCCTCCCAGATGCCCACTGGTTCTTGCCTCTTTGGTCTTGGTTGGCTCATCTTTAAGATGGGAACTGGGGAATGACACTGCACCTGTCTGCCCCTTGCAGCGCTCTTGGGAGGAGACACGGGACAGTGCGCTGGGCAAACGGTCAGTACCCTTTGGTCATGAGCATCTGCCAGAGCTTTACACTCTGGTTGCCACACCAGACAGCCAGCTACACCATGCGCCAGAGCGCAAAACTGGCCCAAAGCTGATAAAGAGCCATGATCTGAGGGCCAAATTCCCACTCCTCCTGCTCCCCAAGAGAGAGAAGCAGTCCTGAGTAAAACCAGGGCAGGCAGAATGAAGTGTGTAGCTCTCATTTCTAAGTAACAAACCAAGAGCACTTCCAAGCCCATCTCGCTCACAACTGGCAGGCTCGGGCCCAGCCCCTCTCCTGCACAACCCAGGACTTCTCTCAGACCAGCTGAGGGGTGGGGAGGAGGCAGAGGCAGTGGCCTGGAGGGTGCCCCAGAAGGGCCCAGATGCAGGGCCTGTGTGACACAGGAGCTGGCCGGGAGAGGATGGGGTAGGATGAAGGGGTTGGACCAGGACTAGGACGCACCCCACCCCTCCGACAGCAGCGTCCTATTTGTCCTCGCTGTGACATCTGGCTGTTGCCTCTGGCAGAGCGAGGGTTAGCGCAGGCAGAGGAGACACCGGCCCTAGGAGCCAGGCCAGTGGGAGAGGCGCTGTGCACAGATCCAGAGACCAGGGAGGTCCCCTCTTGCTGTGCAGTGGCCAGTGGCCTGGGGCCCCACCTAGAGTACTGGGCAGAGGCTGTGGACAGAAAACATCACAGGGGGAGGCACTGAGGAGCTGGGTGGGAGCAATCTGGCCAGGAGAAAGGACCGTGCTGGAGCCTGGACTCCACTTTCTCCAGTCCTTCCCACCGCTGGAAGAAAGGCCCAGGAGATGGGGCACACCCCACTGTGTGTGCACATGAATCCCAGGGCTGGGGTGAGCGACTCGTACTCAGAAAGAGTAGAAAAGTCCCTCTCACTCCCTCCCCATCACCCACCCCACCTGCGAAGAGGAACAGACAATCCTTGGGGCCCACAGGCCATGCCCACTCATACCTGCAGGCACTGCCCTGTCGCCCCTTAGGCCATGGACTTATGCGTGCTGGGCCTGGGACCCAAACCCCTAGGATATGTCATCTTCTAAAGAATCGTCATTTAAAAAATAAAATAATACACCTAGGTGTGCTGGTGCACACCTGGAATCCCAGCACCCTGGGAGGCTGAGGCAAGAAGACAGGAAGTTCCAGCCCAGCCCAAGCAACTCAGTGACTTAGGGAGACCCCGCCTCAAAGTAAAATTAAAAACAAATTAAGAAGGGCTAGAGATGCAGCTCAGTGTGAAGGCTCTGGATTCAATCCCCTGAGCATATATGGAAGGGTGAGGATAAGAAGTGTTTTACAAGTATGTAAATAAATACTTTGCAATTTTTTATTTTAAAAAAGTATTTTTCTCATTATACAAAGAAACCCAACTCAAAAACTCTGGAGGTGAAATGAAATATACCATACCGACCATCCCTTCTAGCCAGAGTCCTCAATGCCTGCCTTGCTCGGGTCCCCAGCAGAAAGATGGCCTTCCTGTCCCATGGTGGGCCTTACCAAATGCACACACTGCTGTACATGTACAGTGGGTTCACCTCCAGCAGCACAGGATTTCCCAAGTCCGAGGCTGCGTCCCTGAGCACTGTGGGGTGATCCAAAGCCCCAGCAGGCCAGGCTCAGGGGACATCTGGACAGGAGCCCTCTCCTGACTTAAGGGGGCTCCCACTGAGGCTGCCAAACTGAGCCCTTGCTTGGTCCTTCTCAGCTCTGGTGGCTCCTGACCTTGTGTCCTCCGGATGCCTCCGTGTGTTTACTTTCCCTCATTTCCAACAGGAACAAAGCCTAGGTCTCTCTGACACATTCCCTGGGTGCCCTGGGTGTAGCGATGCTGGCTTCCCAGGCGCTGCCCAGCACTATCACAGTGTCCCCAACCCAGTGCTGCAGCCACCCTGAGAGTCATTGAAAGGAAGGGACAGAACTCACAGTCAGAAAGGCCCAGGACACTGAGCATTGCAAGGGTACAGGTTGGGGTCCCCAGGTCCTGGAGGGTGGCATCTGGCTGCTTTGGTGAGGACAGGGTCCCAGTGCTCAGGCTCATGGTGACAGTGTTTGGCACCTTGTTCCATGCATTGGTTTCTGTGTCCACCTTTGGGTGACTCTGTCCCCCACCTGTGCTTCTGCAGGACCTGATGGAGAACAAAGCCATGTACCTGCACACCGTGAGTGACCGCGACACCGGCTCCATCTTTGAGGAGCCCTTTGATGGCCGGAGCCTGTCCAAGCTGAACCTGTGTGAGGATGGTGAGTTCTTCCAGTCTGGCTGAGTCCAAGATCCTCTGTGGCAACCACCTCCCCGAGGCACTCATGAAGGGACAGTGCGCCCATCATGCAGTGGGAAGGGGAACCAGGAGGCACCACATCTCGGGGCCCGAGGTCTGCAAAAACTCCAGTGACCCAGCTGGTGCCCTTTCATGCACGGAGCCCAGAGTACTTCTTCCGCATCGGGTCCCGGTGCCCCAGCCAAGAGCTCAACCGAGCAGGCGCTTAATAAACGCTGATGAAGGACAGGGAGTTCAGGGGCCTGGAGAGGCAGGAGTGGAGACACTGTGGCCTGCTGTGTGTAAGGAGTCAGGCTGCTCCAAAGGGCAGTCAGACCAGTGCCAACCCTTCAGGGTGGGGAGCTGCCTGGACTCCCCAGAACAGAAACAACGTGGAAATGTGTACCGAGGTTCAGCCGGAGGCAGCTTTCTGGAAAAGGCCCTGGAGACTAAAAGGGACTTTGTATAAGAAGCGGTGGGGAGAAGTCCCACCAGCTTGTTCCCCAGGCTGGGCCAGGGTTTCTGTTGTTAGGTTTATGCCACAGGCAGGAGAGGAAAGGCCTTGGGGGGCGGGGGCTGGCCCTGCCCAGTACGGCGGCAAAGGGACACTGCTCTGTGTCCTTGATCCAGCTGTGTCTCAACTGCCATCAGGAAAGGAATCTGGTTTGGTCAGAAAGAACCGGGGTCAGCACAGTGGGGTGACCGGGGGAGAGTCACTGTGGCCAGCCTGGGGTGACAGGGGCCCAGGGGCGGGTGGGCAGGTGCAGTGTGGGTGGCAGAGGCTGGGGTTTGCTCTCAGGGTCTCGGTGACCTAATTTGCCAAATGGGGATGCGGAAGGTATTGCTGAGGTCCGGCCAATTTCAAACTCTGTAAAAACAGAACTGGCTGTTGCATTAGGGACCTGGTCCTCCGCTCCCTATGACAAGAGCACAGGCTGGACAGGACGCCCTCTGTCTGCCTCCCTCCCAGGCCCAGCATGGAGCAGGTGCTCACTAAGGCTTACGGAATGCATTAAAGAACTAACACCTTCCGAACTCGATTTCCACATTTTCTAGGTCTTCCGTACTCTGTACCTGGATGGCAGATGCCAGGGAGAGCAATAAGAAACCATACAGCGGTGTGGAGTTGAAACCAGCTTCTGGAAACTCCTGGGCTTCTGGCTTGACTTCCTCCCTCCCTTTCATTTCTAAGAGAAAAATGGGGGAGTTTGCCTTGGAGAAATTCAAGCCAGACTTGATCTCTCGCCAAAGGGTTTCGCTGCTCTTTTGATCTTCATCTCTAGAACTAAAACAGAGAGGGAGAGGAAGGTTGGGCCAGGCGGGGGAGAAGAGGAAGGTGAATGAGACGCGGAAGGTTCGAGGCCTGGGCCAAGGCCACCCTGGGTGCCTAACAGGGTAGTGTTAATCTAGGAGGGGCGCCACGTTCTCGTAGGATTCCTGCTCTGATGAGGAAGAGAGGGACAGGGAAAGACACACTTCCCCTGCTGAAGGCCGGCCCTGGGGTCTCAGCATGGGAATGGAAAGTTCCCAAGGTGCAGCCCAGCTTCTAAGGTGGGGCCTTAGTGATGGTGGGGTGTAAGCATGTTAGATGGAGTCACAGCCTGATTGCACCCTTTCTCACCAACTAGGTTAGCGGAGTCTATCTGAGACCTCTTGTCCCTTTCCGTCATCCCCAAAATGAAGCCCATGGGGTCTGTCGGGCTTTCCTGTTCTGGGCCTTTGTGCCCTCCCAGACTGCCCCTTCTTCCTCAGCTATATTCTGTACCTGTGGCCCCCGGTTGTTGGCTGATGACCCCCACTCCTCACCCTGTGGGCCACTGCCCCAGAGTCCCGACCTGTCGCGTGCTGCCCGCGTCCCTGCTGGGCTGGTGTGGTCCCTTGTCTTGCTAGATGGCAAGATCCGTGAAGCTCAGGGAAACAGCTGGCTCATCTCTGGGCTCCTGGTGGGTGCTCAGGAAACCTTGGCGCCTATTGGTAGGTGACTACCTTGGGGTCTCCTTACCTTCATTCCAGGCTTATCCCTGGGAAGGAAATTTTGAAGTTCTGAGTTCTAAGGAATAACTAACTCCGCTGCCTCTGGATTTGTAACCAGTGGAGACATAGACTAGAAGCCAGGCGGGATTAAAATATGGACTCTGTCTTGTGCCTGGCAAAGCTGAATCCCGGGATGTGGCTTGGACAGTGAAGCCCTGGGCAGGAATTCTGGAGGAACGACATTTACCCCGCAGGCAAGCAAGAGCACCCACACTTGGTGCTGCCCCTTCCCTGCTCACAGCCATCCCCACCAGAGGATCAGAGATGGGGATGTGGGGCCACAGGCACCTCACTCACCCAGGGGCAAAGGCTGTACCTCTTGGGAGGGCGGAAAGGCAGAGAGTGAGAGATGTTCCTGCAGCAGCAGCGGGGCTAGGGCAGGATAAGGGAGAGGATGGGTCACTTTGCCCCCCCATCCTGTCTCCTTCCCGCACCCCTGGAGGCCTCCCCATCCCCTTCCTCCACACCCCTGGGACTTCCCTGGGGAAGCCTGCTTTCTTCCTCGCATCTCAGCCATCCGCATCTTCCTGGGACCCCACTGTGATGAGGAGGTCTAGGAAGGCAGGGACTGTCCCCTTACCTGGTACCGCACAGGCCATCTTGGAGAGGCTACTCGAGGCCAATCCCAGAGGTGACCTGAAAGGACCACAGCCGCTGGCTCTGCCACAGCCACTCGGCCCCCAGACCCAACCCCACCGGAGTCCCCTCCTCCTCCTCTGTTCTTCTCCCGGCTTTGTCTTCCCATGCAGCTGGGGACCTCTCCAGTCTGGCGCCAGGAGGTGGAGGCCAAGGCCTGGGAGTGGGTGGGCCTGGCTGGGCCCAGTCACTGGTGGCACTTTCCAAGGGCCCGAGAGAGGTGTTAGTGTCAGAAAAATATTACAGTCCTGCTGGCCCTGTGGCCTCGGCCCCTCCACCACACCCGTGGCGTCATCCGTGGTCGCAGATGGAGAGCTGGCGGACGTAATGAGTTACACATGCTCCGGGACGCCTGCAGCGGGGCTGAGTGCTGGGTCCGGGGGCTTCTCGTTCCTTCCCCATAAACTTATTCTCCTGGGGGAGCCCCCACATCTACCTTCCCACCCATCAAATGTCCTGCCTCATCTGGCGGCTCCCCAAGGCAGGAGTGGTCACCGCCCTCTACTGGTTGGAGAAGCAGATCCTGGGGCAGGGGAAGTAGGGGATTAACTCCTTCGGACCATAGCATGGTCGGGGACGTGTCCTGCCTGACCAGAGCAGAGAGCCACATGCTGGCAGATGGGGCTGCGGCACCGGAGGAGCTGGCATCTGGGTGGGAGCAGCTTGGTGAATGAGACGGGCCAGACTTTGCAGTTTGCAGGCCTGGGCTGGAATCCATGGGCCACACACTGCCTGGACCTTGGGCGCCTGAGCTCAGTCGGGCTTAGCTCTGGGGACTGCTGCATCCCATCCCTATCCTGCACCCTGCCCTCTGCTTCACTGGGTTTGGCCACGGTGAGCCCTGACAGGGCTGGGAGGAGGACAGGTGGGTGGGCTTGAGCGTGTGCCCATCCCCCAGCTCCCATCCCATGGGGTCACCTTGGGCTGTGGATCCCCTTGGTGTGAGTGGTCTTCTAGGTTCCGGTTACCGCTCCCCAACCCTGAGTTTTGGGACTAAGGGTGGCAGTGGCATAAGGAGACTGCTCTGTTCCTTGTGGGCATCTCGACCTTGGCCACACCTTTGCATGCATTGGCCCTGTGAAGTTGCCACATCAGAGTGGACCATCTGCTTCGCCCAGGGCTCCGGGCCCTGGTCTAGGTGGCCTCGTCCTCTAAATAAGAATAATGTCACACACCCACCCCAGGATTGGGGGAGGGTGTGTATCGAATGACAGAGTAATAGTTGTCATTTGTTGATAAGTAAAAGGGAGTTGGCTTTGTCCCCTAGCTAGCAGGTTTTATCCTGGGGTTTTGGTTCCTCACACTTGTTTTTGTTAAGCATCTCTAGGGTCCCAAGGTTTGTTATATTAGGGAACCCCAAAGGCAGTTGACAGGCTAAAGGCAAGAGGAATTTCATCACCTCGTGAGGAGGCAGATGTGGGAAGAGCCTGCCAAGCTCTCAGGTGCCCACGGCAGTCTCTGGTGGCCTTGGCTTTCAGGGTGTGCCCTCATGTGACTGGCTTTCTTAGTGAAAGAGCTGTGATTTATGACTAGGAATATAAAAATGGCTGTTCTTGTGACTTTATTTCTAGGTATATTTTTGAAGTTCAGAAGTCTTGTTTGTAGGTCCCAGATTTTAGGATTTAATGAACTTTGGTCAAGGGGGTGGGCAAATATTCCCACAGAAGACTAAAAAACAGAACAGCCCCAGGACACAAAAGCAAACTCAGTGGTCAAGAGGAGAAATTTTCCAATCTCTTGTGCCCTGAATGAAGTCTGTTGGGATAACCAAGGGCGATGAAGCAGACAGCCAGCCCTAGGCTTTCCCTTCGGGATGCTTGTAGTCCCCTCCTCTCAAGGAATCACTGGTCTTAGGACTGGCTGCGTTCTGGGGCTGCTTCCCTGAAGGACAGAGAGCTGCTCACTTCATGGCTGGAGCGAGAGGGCAGAAGAGATGGAGCCCGAAGGTCATCTCTCTTCACCGCTACGTTCTGCTGGAAAAGTGGGTGCCGAAGGAATGACTGCCCCATCTCTGCTGAGCCCCCTCCGCTGACCTCCCCGCTGTCACACAGCCTGCCCTCTCTGGTCTCGCCTCCTTTCTACATCGCTAAACATCCCAGCCTGATGTTTGTTTTAGGCAGGTCACCTAACCTCTGAGCTCAGCCGTCACCTGCAGGAGGTGGAATAATGGTGCCCACCTCCAGCGTTGTTGTCTGGAATTAAAGTACCTGGTGCTTAGGCCGAGTCGCTGCTCTCTTGGGAGGTGACAGCTGACGCTCTGTGTGTCACCTTGTTGGAGGCTGCAGGGCTGAGGCTAACGGGGACAGCATGCTA